TTGACAATGGCGTCATGATGACACCGAAACGTCGGTTTTTATCGTTAGTTTTTGCTAGTTTTTGTTCCACAATGAGTAATAAGTTATTCCCTAATCCTAAGAATAAAAACTAGTGGGTTATAAAAAAGATTGCGATGAAAGAAAAGGCAATTTTTTTATTTACAGAAAATCATAGTATTTCTCATTATTGTTCAAACGTAAAAAAGTAAAAAACTTACATATAGTATTTTACGCTATCCAGTCAATTCGTCAATTCGACTTTTTAGCATTTTTATGATGTAAGTTTCAGACGATTTCATTTATATCGGCTTAAATTCACTTAGCGAAAATCACTCGGTGAGTAACACTCTGGTGTCGTTGTTCGCAAACTGATCATCATCTTTGTGATATCAATATGTTTTATTTCGTTTGACGTTCCATTATTGAGACGCTAAACCTAACTTCAGAATCCCTTTCCCTTTCCGCAATGTACTTGTACATCTTAGCTTTTATTTGATGAAAGTTTCACACGAGAGGTTACACGTAACGTTTGAGTCAAATCACCACTGGTAACGATTTGACTACGAGTGGTGGCGAGTTTTGTGGTGGCAAGTTTGTTGAGGTGGCGAATTGACCGTAAACCAATTGATTTCAATGCAAAACTTACGGAATCACTTCCCCTCGGTCAGTACAGTACTTGTCTGTCTTAAGTGCAAGATTTCATACCGAAAATGTATTTTTCTAGATGTACGGCAATAATTAAAATTCGTTATTCGTTTCAACAGGCAGCCCAGGTAATAAGTAAAGAAGCAGTTCCTATGCTAATAATTTAGGACCCTGAAGATGTGTTAGCGTAGATGAGCACAATATCCACCATAAAACTAATGCTAACTGCACCCACAGGGCACTGTACACTACCTTTCTATATCGCGCCATGTTCAGACTATTTGTTTGGCTCGGTTGTTGCTGAACATGATCTTGTACTTGAGCCTAATGACGACTGAGAGCGAGGAAAATATTTCTGTTCGAGGCGATGGAAATGGTATACCTATATATACACACCAAACAGTTACACGGTAATCTAAATCGTAGCATAAATCAGCGACACTAGATTGAACCCAAACTAGAGCTACAATGACATATGTACTCTTTAAAGTCACAATTTGTCTTTATAGCGATCAAAGGTGTAAATATGGTAGATAAAGCGCAAGGAATTCTCTCTTGCTTCAAGTTTCAAGATGTATTTACTCATTTCACAAACAGAATATGGAAATCTCACTAAAGATATTCTTCATACCAGGGTGATCAGAGGAGACCCTTCTCTTCGACCTTTTAAAGTTTTGAAGAAAACTGTGAACATGGTAACCTCTCTAATCCCCTGGCTGTTGTTCATCTCTCAATAGGAAAATCAGAGGAAACTGTGAACAACTCGGGGATACATTACCTTTAATGTTGACCTCTGAGAAAGGAATTGCCGATCCAAGTTGTTGAAACCCATCTAAAGAGGGGGGGCATAGCAGCTCTAGAACTGTTTTGGTCTGTGTTCCACCTGTAGTGAAGTTTGCTGTCGATGTTATTCTATATTTTTCCGTTTTCTTTGTAGCTGTTTAATAAAATTAGCACTAAAATTTAATTCCCTTAGCAAACAGGAAGACATCGGCCGGCTACATTTTTGCTTGGCGATATGACGAGGAAACTCTCTATTGTCAGTCTTTTGAGAGAGACAAAATAAGTGGTATATCCAACTAACTGTCATTCCTCTGGGCCGATAATTAAGAGGGAAAAACTTTTGTTACACCGTGGTTAATTATGAAATTAAAAAATGCTTTGTAAAACACTACACTTGAAAGAAAAAAAGGAGCTAAAAATTGGGAATAATTAATCGCTCGAAAGTGATAGCCATAGAATCAATAAAAATTTAGACAACTTAAAAAAACACCAGCGTCAACCTGAATATATTAAACATTTTCAAGAGTCGACAATGTTCTTCATGCCATTATCGTTTTTCCCTTAAGACATTATGGTTATCTATATTTGAAGATGTTTTTTTTTTTGTCCCGTGAAGTGAAATATAATTAATTTTCAACGATTATTACAGAGTTTTCATTCTGAGCATTCCACTTTTTTTCGGAATTTTATGTTAAATAGTATGTCACATAAACTGCTAAATTGTCTGTTGTGTCAAAAAAGTGATTTTTCTCTCTCACTTAGCAGGTGCTTCATGTATGAAACAGCAATAAGAGGCAAACAGAGAGACATCTGTTGTATTGTATTTTAAAGGGCGAAAATAACCCCGCTCTACCAAAATTAATTTTCATTGACAGTGTACTAAATCAATATTATCTGTAACAAACTTGATTAACTATCAGCCGTTAAAAAAAAAAAAAAACTCCCGGAAATAAAAAGTTAAAGAAAATGACTTATATGTTTGTTGTTGTTCAAAATGACTTCGCTTGGTTTAAGAAATAAAAAAAAAAAAAATAGAAACGAGACATCTCCAAATGCATTAAACGATTGTAAAGTAATTTTTTGGTTACAGATGCAAAAGTATTTAAAAGGCTTTGAATTAAAATTTGGAATGAAAAAAAAATGTGCAGTATTTTACAATTTGTCTAACTCGCAACCCCAGACTGATAATTTATCCTCAACAGTGAAACACATAGACATCTGCGGTAGAATAACTATTTCACAACTTATTTGAAACTTCCTCTTCTCAGATAGAAACTCATTTATAGTTGAGCAAAGACGATAAGTCATTATTTTCAATTTTGGAAAATAAAAAGATCCAGAAAAAAAAAAAAACTGACGATAAGAGCTCGTAATGGCCCATTTTATCCTATACGCTCATTTACACATTGTTCACAACTAGTATTTTACATCTTTAAAATTCATAAGTGTTATAGACTATGTTCAAACATCCAACTTAGGTTTCTTATTTCTTCCTATCCAATAACATATCTGACAAGCGTTCTCTTCGGCTGGTGATAATCGTGACTGTATGACTTAGCTTTAAAAATATTCATTCGAGTGTAGGCACGAGGGGTCTAACTCCATGGACAGTAAAGTGCTTGTCTGAGTGTCTGCTTTACTGCTTGTCTCACTTCACTAAACTTCTAGCAGTAAAGAAACGGATTTATCGTCGAGTTAAGGTAAACTAAGACGATTGTTTCTCTTCTTAGGAAAATTAATTGTGATGTCATGTTTTACTAAGGGCGATCACTGATTCCACTATGAACTATGGCGCATAACAAACAATAAATGCCACCTGCGCCCACAGTGCACTGTACACTGCCTTTCTGTATCGTGACATGTTCAGTGCACTTGGTTGGCTCAGCAGTTGTTGAACATGATCGTGTATTGAATCTGATGATGCCTGAGAGTGCAAAGAATATATGGGTATAAGGCCAGTGAAATAATGAGGCAAAGTGGTATTAATATGCCGGTGCTCTAATACAGTATGCAGTGATCAAATATGGTGTATAAGCAGGCCGAGACGAGAGGAAAAACCCAAAAGGTAGCCACAATTATAAACGTGCACTTAAAAGTTACAATTTGTCTGTATCTCAGCCCACCAACAGGGTGAGAAGTCTTTCCGGGCCAATGACCGCTACTGTCAGCAAAGAAATCCCACATAATGGTATGCTTGATATGTATGCTGCGGTATTTGCGTATTGACCAATAACCCAGTGTTCGTGAACCAAGGATATCACAAAAGTAGCATTGAGAGGCTGGGCAAAAAGACCAACCAACAGATCAGTTGTTGCTAGGCAAAGATACAACAGATTAGACGGTCGATGAAGAGAAGATTCTTTGTGAAGGGCAAAAGAATGAGAGAATTTCTAAGAAACGCTATGACGGAGAGGAGAATGTTAACTGCTGTGAAAGAAACCAATTTTGGTCGAGACCCACTCACCAAAAAGCTCGAGGACGAGCATATTAGTCGTTCAAATACTTCCGTCCCAGTTCCACCTCTTGTGAAATTTGTAGTCCACATTATTCTGTATTGGTTTCCTTTTTCTCGCAGGTTATCTGTGATTGCAACTAGAAATATTGCGTCTAAACGGCACACAGCCAACCACGATTGCTGAAACCGCACTCAGCTGACACTAATCATAAAAAGACTTCGTCGTCATCTTTTTCTCATTTAGAATGCGTCATAATATTAATTGCAGTTTCAAAAAAGCACTTTTTTTTAACTGGTCTGGTGCTTCAGGAAATTAATAGCTATACAAGGAAAATGTGAAGAGATTTAGTTTTACCGTGTGACGAAAAATCCCTCTTTAGCTGGATACACTTCAGTAGATGTCATCAACATCTTGAAATTCTATCGTTATCGCAGAATGATCAGTTTTTATGCTGAAATCATGTCAATATTACAAACGTTATCCGATAAAGAATTTGAGATAAGCCCATAGTCCAGCCTTGAGAAAACCAAAGGATTTGATCGACTCCAGGTAAAGGTGCGTATCGTGGGACTCA